CAACCACAAGTCATCATCGTTATAAATGACTATAAACTTTTTTTCTGAACTGAAAAATAGAATTACTTTTCTTACTTCAACTATACTTCAAGGTACAGAATCCGGGATTGTTTTATTTGAAGAAGAATGTCCCGGTTAATATTACTCTTTTTCTGATTCTTTTATAAACAAACATTGACTATGTATTGGCATCTCCGTAGTTGCGGCATTGACTGGCTTTGTCTGTTGTCGATTACAGTACGTGAATGTTTGTTTATAAAAGAAGGAGAAAAAGAGCACATAGTAACGGGGATAGTACACTATTTCGAAAAGAGAAGTGTTGGTTAGGCCACAATAAAAAGAAACTGTCTTTATTCTGCAGTGAAAAAACAAAATATCAGAAGCGCAGACAAAAAACGTTTTTAGTCTTTGCCGTGTGAGAACCACCGCATTGATGGTAAGTAATTGACAAATAGTTTGAGACAAAAGTCATCTTTTTTTGTAATTATTTTTATTTTTTTCAGCTAATTAAATTCTTTGGTAATTAAAAGTCTTACTCTTGGTGATCATATCGCTGTTAATAAATCAGGTGGCGAAATCTTACTTTTTCTATGTTTAGAAAACCACATCCTATTCTCTTTCCAACGGAAAAACTTAAAAGAAAAAGGAAATAGGAATTATATATATTATGAATGTCAAAGCATACTTAATTTTATATAAATATACATAAATATATTCAAGTATTTGATTGATTGAGTTATACTTTAGTAGCCACAAGTAGATGATCGATAGTGAAGAAAAGTAACATAAATACATTTACATAGACATAAACAAAATCACGCTACTAGGAGGACAAAAAACGTTCTGAGAACCTATAGCCTTTGCCGTCTTACTTTAAAACGATTAAAGCTCAGATAGTTCTTGAGCTTTAACGTTACGAATTTATTGTGCGTGATGTAACAACAGCTTCGGGAAGGGTTAAATTCAAGTCTCAGGTTGTTTGCCAAATAAATGATTGTAGAGCGATTTCTGTTCTAGCAGACGGAGTTTTACTGTACTCGAATGACTAAGACGGCTTGATCTTCTAGGCTGATCGTATTGGATAAAATTTTGTCTAGACCATATTTTGATTAAAGTTTTAAAGTTTGGAAGGGGTTCGAGTCATAGATCGTGATTAAGAAGAGACAGTGTCATTTCGTTTTAAATTCTTTCTTTTTAAAAAGAAAAAGTCAGATTTTCTCCTTTTCTCTTATATTTTCTTAAATGTTTCTAGCATAACCGCCCTCCTCGTTCTTATTTCTTTCCTCAAAATCCTATTGTTTTCTATCTGATCTATAATGGAAAAATGTGGCATGCAACACGTAAAAGTATTAAGAAAAGTAGAAAAGGTATCTGAAATTATTTTTGTACTAAGGTTTTTTACACTTCGCCTGTTGTACTCCTTCCACAACCGAGAATGGACTATTTAATTTTAGATTAGTTGTTTGTAGATCCTCACAAACGTCTGCAAAACACTCGCAGGATGAGTGCCATAGATAAGAAAAATGTGATGCTTTCATATCATCAAAAATCAAGCCAAGAGATTGTTTTGAAAATTTTTAACGCTTTAAAAGGCGTTAATATTCCTGTTTGGATGGATACATATGGTGGTATTACGGAGCAGCTTTATGAAAAGTGAGTTATGCTACGTTCAAAACCTCGAAATCTTACTACAGATCATTGTTCATTATCGATAACTTTTTGTAGTATGGCGGAAGGAGTTGAAAACGCTTGTGTTGTTTGTTGTTTTTTAACTCCAGAATATCAAGAGTCAGAAAACTGTAAAAAGGAATTAAAATATGCAGCTGATAAAGGTGTTCCGCTTCTTCCATGTTTTTTAACACGAAATTGGAAACCAACAAATTGGTTAGGCATATTAATTGCTGGGCGTGTATGGAAAGATCTTCGAGACCATGATGAATCCAATATTGATTTGAAAATCTTGAAATTGATTAAACGTCTACGCAAAATTCTTGGTGATAGATTGGAAGCAGCTGTTCCCGCAGCAATACCAGCTGAAAGTAGTGAAACATATGCACCAGTCAAAGTTCCTGCACCTCCAACACCAAGAGGTCAGCGTGGTTTTTTTGTTTTATCCGATAAACTCTTCTTTAATGTTTCGGGTTTTAATAGCTGACTATATCATGCTGTTTTAGAAAATAAGCCTGCTATTGTCACTGATCTGATCGACAAAACAGCGAAAACTGGTGACTTATTGGAATTATTTATTGTTTGCGATGGAAAGTCAACTCCAGAATGTAAATGGACTTTTAATGATCAATTAGTGGATTTAATTGATGGTGAAATAGAATCAGTAGTAGATGATGATGGTAAAACATATCGATTGTCAATATATGATTGTTTGCTCAAGCATGCTGGGCTTTATCAAGCTATACTACAAAATATTAATGGAGATATATTGAAATCAAAACAAGTCTATTGTAATGTTGGACAACAACCAAAATTTATTGATACAGAATCGGATGCAACAGTTTTAGCAATGCAAGATCAAGACTATACATTAGATTTGTTAATTAAAGGCACTCCAGAACCGAAAATAATCTGGTAAGTGAAGTGCCAATATATTTAAGGGTATCTCCACGTTTTTTTACCCTCATGGAAACCAATCTCTGATTGACTTGAAATCTCTCTCGAGATACTAGGAAAATGCTCAGAATCGTATGGAAAAAGTCCGTATCTTATTTTGAGAACCTTCCCACGTGGAAAGTTGAAACTGAAAGTGCTTAAAAGTGATTTAGAACCTGAGATAGAATAGAAAGTATCTGTAGCAAAAATCGTACCTGGATCAGACCGTTTTTTTTTACGCGTCATAATGTAGCTGGATTGGAACTGCTAGTACTTGAGTGTCATTTGAACATTATAAGTAACATTGTGCACGATAGTGTTTTCGAAGTTTTTGAGGCGCTGCTTATATCTCCTCGGAAAAGGCGTATCATGGTGAAGAGAACGCTTACTCTATCAGGCTAAGCATAAAAGAAATTTCAGGGTTCTGGAAAGGGGAGAAAAATTTAGGAACCTGAAAAAAGGTTGAAGGAAAGAGGAGGAATTTAGTTCGTTTTATCCCTCAAAAAATATTGCAAAACAGATCGTCGAAAGCCTTGGAGTGGTCCCATTTGTGACCCTGACTTTCCTCTACATTAGTCTATGTTCAACTTCAGATCAAGGTTTTTTTCAAAAAAGAGGGTAAGTATCGTTAAGGGATATTAGGCTTTGTGTGGTATTTAATTCAATTTATGTTCTATTCTGAAGAAAGACTTAGAGCTGAAGCGTATCTTAGCTTAAGAAAATGTTTATAAACAAAAAAATACCCGAATGTATGCTGATCAAGCAGTGATAAATACAAGGAACACACAGGAGGCAGCGTATAACTCAAGCACACTAACATATACTAGGAGTCGCTAATCATCTTCGGTTAAGAAACGGAATGCATGATCCAGAGCTGAAACCGGTCTAGTGTAAAAGTTCAGAACGATTGATCCCCGCCGGTCTGTTGCCAGGCTAGAAAATTTTCAAAGTGGCCGGTGTCGACCTTTTACCGGTTTTAGAATTTTTTAGCATCTTTCTCGTCTGCATTCAAAAGAAACTTGATAAAACAACTAAGAGAAATAAGAAAAAGCTAGTGATGACCACTTTTTCCTTTAAGATATTTAGCTTTACTAATAAAAGTTCTCAACCGGTCGGCTTTTCGCCGGTTTTTCACCGATCTAAAAAGGTTTTTGGGCCGGCCGGTGATCGTGCGGTCTGTCTGATCTGCTGTTTTGAACCGACCGGCTCGGTCCGGCCTCTTAGTTTTAGACCGCTTGCAACTCTGGCATGATCTAAAATCAGCAGACATGATCAAGTGATTTGTCGAAATCGGTCACGTTCACGCTTCGCGACTAATCGGAAGGTTTAACCATCGTCAAGGATAGGATCCAAGGATTCAGTTGTCAGATTAAGCAAGTCATTTCTTGGGTTTAGGAATTCCTTTAAGATTAGTTCAAAATTCATTTTCACTTCCTATCAGCTTTCGAAAACTTCTACAACCTTTCTCAGACTCAGGAATCTCTAGTCATTTGTCAGAGTTTGGACTGGTCAGTTTTCAAAAGTTTTCAGGTTAATTTTAACGTTCTAACTTGAACACGGTGATTTTCATCTTTGATATCAGTGAACTGAAACAAATTTTCAGGTACAACATTCTAAAGTTCTTTTTAGGATCAGAATTTTTCCAATCGCTTGATAAGACAAGATCCTAAAAAGCCAGTAGAAATTGCTAGATTATTTTAATTTTCGATCAAAGAGTCTTTAGAAATAGCATGTTCAGGTTTGATACTGGTAAGAGTCTTAACATCCTTGATTACCATCTCACGGCTGTTCCTGAGAAAAGCCGGGAACTTACCGCAAAATTCTAGACCATTTGTTCAATTCCAGAAAATTTTCAAAATTTGATCAAGCACGAATATTAAAAGTAATCTGAATGTCCATGAAATTTTTTCGTGTAACTTTTCGAACGCTTGAAATTGACCTGAGCTGCTTCTATAATTCGACGAAATCAGATCCAAATCTGAGCAGTTCTGTAAAAGATTCCTTTCACTGGAAGCTAACTGATGTAAAATTTCTAACACTTGTAAATGACGTGGGAAGTCATAAAAAAGCCATATGAAGGGCCGCTTTTTTCGTTGTACGTATCTACAAGGTTTGATGTTGTTGATAAATAAACAAAAATGGAAAAAGAGAAAATTTTGTTAGAATTGACTACAACGGAAAAAAATAGAAGCCTTTTGATCGCGTTAGTGTACATGAAAACATAACAGCCAAAAAATTAAAAGGGCCAAAAGGTTTCTCAAGACAAGACAAGAATTTTCTCAAGCGTTTGTTGCAGTCACCACGGTTCATCTTTTTATCTTTTTCTACAAGAAGAGGTTATTTATCACTCAACAATTTGACATAAAATACAGATATTTACAAGGGTTATTCTGGACAGTAGTTGAAAAAATGGCTTCTTGAAAGTGTGTAATCAAGTTCGTAAAGTCTTGAACTAAAGGCATACGTTACCTATTGAAGATTTGAGCACTTTCTTACTCTCAAGAATGATAGGTGAACGCAATTAGATTTACGTATCTAATCTTACATAAACTGTTTATTTCTTAGGACACGCATGAAAGATGGTAAAATTTTACCGGATGAAAAAGATACCACGGTATCATATGACAAATTGAAAAATCAAACAACATTAATGATAAAAAAATGTCAAAAATCCATTCACGAGAGTGAATATACGTGCTATTTGGAAAATGCATTTGGTAAATGTGACAGCAAACGATATTTACAAATACTACAAAAACCAATAATCGTTAAGCCACTGGATAATCTAGAATGCTTTGAATATGATTCTGATTTAACAACTGAAGCACAATGTCATGCTGATCCCATACCAACAGTAGTTTGGGCTCGACACTTGATAATCAAACGGAACAAACTTTAGAAGAAAATGCATATTATTCAATTAAACAAGATAAAACAACATTCAAATTAATATTTCATAACTTACAAACAAATCAAACTGGAACATACGCAATTAAAGTAAAAAACGATGTTGGTGAAGCAGAATCAAAAATGAGACTTAAAGTGAACGGTAACACACACTATCAGAAAACTGAAAGTTACAGATAATGGACTTTTTTAAGAATTTTGTGTATATGTCAAATCATTAACAGGACAAATATATCAATTACATTCGAATTCAAATGATACGATTGAAAGTATTAAATCACAAATACCAAAGAAAAACGGGATGTCATCAGATGGTTTAATATTTGGTACTCAAAAACTTCAAGATATAAGAACATTATCGTTTTATAGTAAGTTTGGTATTATCATAAAGAGCTTTTTATGTTCCTAACTACTACTTACTTTTTCATGTTTTCTTTTCCTTTTACTTCTCTTATTTTAGACATTAAAGCAAATTCTGTGTTGGAAATAGTGTTTCCAACACCATTGATTTCAAGCTCAGAAACTCAAAAATCAAATCGTAATTATATTTTAATTCAGTTTCATTCAAAAGCCCTATTTATTAAGATTACTATCCGTTTCAAAATAGACGGCGCACTACGGTTTTTTGAATAAACTTTTGATAAGAATGAGATACAGACCTGCGGATCTCAGCATTTGAAAGAGGACACTTGAGGCTATAATTCTATAAAAAAAAACAGTCTCCCTAAAAGATTTACCATGGTGTACCTTTCGAAACAAAATGTCCGAGCCTGCCATTTCAAAAATCTACATGGCGAAGTACTGCTCTAAACACATGTGGATATACAATGGATGCCACTCTACAACCTGCCTTAAGTCCCAAGCCTCCATCTACCGTGGTCCGGGCGCTACAGGCAACCTTCAGAACCTACCTATCCGCTAAACTTGAAGTTCGGAAACCTTAAAAACGCATGAAACATAGGTTTTCGAACACGGAAAATTAAGAACCATTTTTACATACATGATAGATCTATAATTACATGGCTACATTCAGCAGACAATGGGCTACATTTTGAAAACAAAATCGAGTCTCCAGCTCTGAATTAAAATTTTTAAATCGAGATGCATATGTGTCAACAGTTTTCCGCTGATTGGATGATCTTAACTAGCATTCTAAATTTTTAGTATTTCATTGAAAAATGCGTCGTATGACACAAGTGTAAAAGGAAAAGTCGCTCAGGAGATCGAGGCCTAAGCTAGCAGCAGTACTGCAGACTGACAGCTTTCTAATATATAATGTAAGCCTTTCGCCACAGGAAAACGGTTGCTTTGAAAACTTGTCCTAGCGTTTAAGGTCATCCGGTCAGCGGAAAACTGTTGACACATATGCATCTCGATGTGCTTTATCCAATGGCGACCGAACCAGATCTCTAGCTTAAAACCTGACGGTTTTATATATCTTTTTTAATTTTGGTCAATAGGCGGATAAAGGCTTTTGAGAACATTTTTTGATACAAACGTTTAGCTGAAAACTCCGCAACTCCATATATTTGTTCAACTTTAATTTCCTATCGAGTGCCGTTTGGCCATCCCTTTCCAGTGTCGAGTTATTTAAATTTTATAAAAAGTTCAAATTTTGAGACTTTTAAAATTTAATTTAAAAATTTTAGTTCAGAGACTCGATTTGGTTTTCAAAACGTAGCCCATTGTTTGCTGAGTGCAACCATGTAATTAGAAATGCTCCATCGTTTGTTGGATTTTCTAGAAAAATTTTTTTATTCGAAACCTATATGTCAAAAACCACGGGTTTCTAGAAAACCTACTTGCGATCATTTTCGAGAAAAGTATCCGCTACACGCTACACAAACGAAAGAGCATGGTCTGAAAACTAACTTCCTTCTCTCAGCATTTCTTATCAGAAAAATTAACCAAAGAATATTACGTAAATTTAAGTGAAAGCATCTTGTCTCAAAGTTACCTTGTAGGGGTGTTAGATTGAACACTGCCGAACTTGGCTCTGTGCGAAATCCGAATGGAAGAGCCATATCTTCCTCAAAAAACAATTTCCAATCCGAAATCCATAATTAGAATTTTACCAAGATCATAGGCAAAGCCTAATAAGACCTTAATAATAACAAATCTTAGTAATTATGTTGAAGACACCAAAAAAAAAATTTGAGCACCAAGTTTTAAAGCATTGTAAGTTGTGTCGCTTCAAGGTTCTTCATTCTCTATAAGGCAGACAGATCGAAATCTCTTCGAGTTGGATTTTGTGATGTGTTGTAAGAGATCGATTTCCAAACGTTCACTTCAAAAGGCCATAGGGACAGGAACGGACGTCATATTCGTGATCAGCATCAAAAATTAGGATGAGACACTTGGTGGGGTTTCCTCGTTAGTAGTTAAGAATTTCTAAGCCTCAATAAAACCCTAATAGTTAATATTTAAAGGAAATTATGAAGAAAAGTCAAAAAAATGAGTAAGATTTCAACTAGAAATAATCAGAAAAAAAATTTCGGCAACGGATGTGCTCTGAAAAAAATCGAAAATTTTCGGTTTCCGAAAGTGTTTCTGGGTTTAAATTTGATTTTTCTTTGAATTTGTAGCTCCTCAACTGTATGTGAAATCATTGACCGGACAAACATATTTATTGCAAGTATTATCTACGGATACAATAGCAAGCATAAAGGCCAAATTAGAGAAAATAAATGGTATACCAGTTGATAGTCTACATCATGACGGAAAACAATTAAGTGATGACTGCACCTTATCTTATTATAATATTAAAACAGAAATGGAATTGAATGTTGCCCCAAGATTAGGCCGTTGTAAGTAGTGGTTTTTTGTACTTCATGCATAAACGATCAAATTTTCGTCGTTTCTGGCACTATATTGTAGACGTTTATGAGATAATTAAGCTGATTTTGTACCGCTGACATCCGAGATATAATAACTCAATAAGCTGCTGAATGGATCTGCGCACTCCTTTTTTTATTTTGTTGATCTTATCTTTCCCCGTTAGCACCAAAACAATCAACTTTCTCGCTGGTTTCGTTAGCCCATAATAACGATTGTAAGATAGCACTTAAAAACCGAGAATGTTTTCTTAATCTTCGTTCTGTAGAAAAGCAGCGATAACTTTTTAAAAATATTAAAGAAACACTAAAATCAGGCATAAACACAATAGGCATTCAAAGTTTATTTCAGACATGAGAGAGAGCGGAAATGATTTAGATCGTTTTTAGAATTTTACTATAAAACTTTTTTTTCGGAAAAACAGCGAGTTTTAGAGGACTGAAATATAATGAGGAAGTAATAAAATAGCCGACAGATGTTGTTAAATTACTGCAGGATCACTTTAAAAGACCTTTTACACTATCAGGTGAGGATATCAAGCCCAAAGCTTAAATATAAAGTTCGACTAAAACTAACGAAATCAACAAGCGTGACAAGTTCAAGTTTTCGTTGTTTGACTCAAATAAACACATTTCCTGACATCTTTAAGCAAGCGAAATGCATCTTTTTTATCAAAATGCACACAGACACCAACAAATTCAGACCGTTTACTTCCGAACAACAACGACAAATTATTTGATAAAGCTTTAAAAACTTTTCTTCTCGAGTGAATAGACAGACTTCTTTCTGGCGCTCAAGGTCGGTTTCGCTTCTCCCTGTGTCTTAATCACAGATTCCTTATCAGCCGCCGTTGGGCCTCTTGGTGGATCTGAATAGTGCGTTCGACCGTGTGTGACGCGATAGATTGCTTTATAAGCTTTGTCGTTGTCGCATTTCCGAACATCTATTCAGGTGCTTAAGAGACTGGCTGAGATCTGGGAGGAGTGTAATCACTTGGAACGGAGAAAACAGGAGAATTCGACATAGAATCGAGCAGGTCACATGGAAGTTGCCTCTCTTCGGTTATGTTGCTTCTATACATTTTTGATATAGATGATGTTTTTTTCTGACGCTGACAGCCACTATTTTGCTGCTGATATGGGGTTGTTGTTCAGAGCTCCCTTCGACTTTCGTCCACACGAAGCGACTGGTATTATTGTGAGACAGACAAATGCATACTTAGGACGATTGCTGGAGTACTGTGCAAAAGTAGTTGTCGATTTTCAATATGAACAAAATCTATTTGGTTTTGGGGGGGGGAGACGCTGTGCGCATTGGAAACCTTCATGAAGTAGAAACCAATAGTTTTCTCTGAAAACAACTTCATTCGATTCACTATTCAATCTTGGACGTACAAAATTGCGCGAAACTTTGGGAGGCCATTTTCGTATAGATAAAAGAAATTGTCGAAATCAGAAACACGCATTTTTCTGTATATGCATTAGAAAGACACACATACATCGTTGAATTTTCTTTAACAAGATTTGTCTGAATGAGCCGAAAGAATTAAACAAGATTCAAAATTTTCGAAATTTAAACTATCATTCTGGAAAAGTGATGTCCTCCGAAAGTTTGACTATTTTTAGAAGTGAAGTAATATAGAGTTTCAATTATTATATTTTACTATGTTATCAGCTAACAACTATAAATAAGAAATAGTTGGAAAATTTGAGAAACATTCATCAGTCCTACTGCACCTTGCATCTGATTGTTTTTTCAAAAAAAAGCCTAGTTTTATAGAAGAGTCTTGCAATAAAAGATCAAATATTTTCTTATTGAGATCAACTCTCTTTTATGTAATTTGTTCAAAAAAAACATGCGCAAAAACTATGAATTCCCAACTGAAAAGAATTAACGTCCTTTGGCCCGAATGTAAATCAACTTAATTTCGGTCAACGGAATTTCGCCAATAAGACTTTCGCCAATAGGACATTCGCCAATGGTGAAAGTGCAGGAGATATATTGGCGAAAGTACAGTGGACTTTCGCCAGCTGTCACGAAATAATATTAACATGGGATACATGTGAGGAGTGAAGCTAATGTTGTTAGAATGTATATACCATACCTTACACTTAGGATATACTCGCATATGAACGAGCGATGCTTTTAATGAGAAAAACGCGAGATTAATATAAAGAAAATACAAGTAAAGCGTAACCTAATGTTCATCTGACGATGCACCTGACAATGAAAGAAATAAAATAGACGAAAATGAAAAAGAAAATAGAGAGACGAAAAGTGTACCACAGTCAGTATAATACTAAAAGATCACGCGCACACACATGTGAACAGAGGTAAAACAAAAACTAGAAAACTAAATACTAAGAAATCGGAAGGACCAGAGCACTAAGTGTACCAGACTTAACAATGACAACGACATACACAAACATAACCTATTAATGCAGTCGATGGGAATTTTTCTAATCCACGTCTAATTCACAGTTAAAATGGCGAAAGTGCAGAAAACAGAAAATCTTCTGCACTTTCGCCATTGGCGAATATCCTATTGGCGAAAGTCTTATTTGGCGAGATTCCGGAACCCCTTAATTTCGCCCCTAGAAAACACAAAGTTTGGTTTTTTCTGCCTTTGCTACTCTATATCAACAAGTGAGTCAAAGTCATTTGCAATTTTAAAGTATAAAAAGGACGCGAATGGATTGTTATAATTATTGACCCAAATCTTTTTTGCTTTTGTAGCTACACCACGACATACGACAGCAACTGTTAATTTAGAAGAAGTACAACCACAAAACGAAACTGAAGAAGTGCATACACAGAAAACAGAAAATCCCGCGAAAAGCGGTGAGCAACATTAAGTATTAAGCGAAATATCCGGTTAAGGGCCCCCCTCAGAAATTATCTCTGACACCGTGCATCCGATCTTAACGAAACTTTCCATAAATGTTCGGCACAATGAGTTACGGGAATGAAAAAAATTTTTTGTCTCCAAGTCTTACGGTTTAGGAGTTTTCCAGAGATCAGGGTCCAAAAAGGACCCTGAACGGCGTCCCAAGAATTTTTAATATACTTCAAGCTGTAGAGTTCGGGTTTGTTTTATTTTAAACTAGACACCTAACTACATCGACTGACCGTCGCCGATTTTTTAATTAGGCCTTTATTGATTTTCCAGGGGACCAACAACCTCCAAAACCCGAAAAAGCCTTCCAGGTTTTCTAAAAATCCTCCATTCGACAAAAAACTAAGACCTAATTCAAAAATCGACCCCGGTCAGCCCATGTAGTTTCTTTTCCTCTTTTAAACAAAACAAGAATGAACTCTGTACGACAAACCCTTATTAAAAATTTTGGGACGCACTTCAGGTGTAACTCTTATATAGTGAAAACGCTTTATTAAACGCTGTATGAAATACTCGATTTTAGGACTCCTAGGAAAATGCCTGTAACTTTTTGATGCAAGGTCATACAGAGTTGTGCGAAGTCTTATTTTGATCAGAAACGTTTGCTCTACAAAGCTGTGTTTTAAAAAAAGGTTTAATTGCATAAATATCCAGGGAAAAGCCATTATTTGCAGACCCGTTTTTTCGAGGCTCTTAGAAAATTTGCTCAAAATCCCCGAAAAACCAGTTTTGTAACCAAAAGCAATACAGATTCTGCAAGTAGACACTTCAGGCTATCTTCTCATGTGCGTATCTCAAAATCGATTTTTTGACCGAAAATCACCATTTCTGAGCGGGGGGGGGGGGTTAAGTACGATAAAAAGCTCTATCCAAGTATATGTGATAGATATCGGAATATTACAAGCTTTATGCCATTCAAATGGTGTGCTGCAAAAGAAATGACGTTAATTAGAAATACGCTGTTTTTATAACTTGTGATTGATTTCAGTCCTCAAAATAGAATAGAATAGAAACAACAACAAATTTCTGTGTTTAGACCACCCTGCAACACCCAAAAAATCAAATTATTTATCGGAAAAACGAACGGCTACATCAATCGTACAAATTAACATTAATGAATTATTGAAACCAAAATATACTGCAAGTCGTCAATCTATAAAAGCTATTGAAAATAAACTAACAAATATTGATTTAACTATTGGTCTTTATGTTGATGAAATATTGGCATTGTATGAACTCTTGCCTAGTTTATTCAATAATGTTGATAATTTATTTGATAATATTGCGGAAAAAATGACACAACTAATGTATAAAGGTTATCCATTTCATATTCTTCGAGGTCGACCATTAAGATGTCAAAGTAAACTTTTACAACGATGTTTGAATTATGTGCTACAGTCAAGAACTCCACCTTATGTACTAACGGTGATTGGTGAACAGAGTTCAGCAAAAAGTTCACTGCTCAATGCCATTTTTGGATGTAATTTTCGTACAAGTTCCGGTCGATGTACGATTGGTATTTATTTAAGTGTTGTCCAATGGAAATCGCATACAATTGTTATCCTTGATACAGAAGGGTTGTTATCACTTGAAGAATCTGGTTCAATATTTGATAATCAAATGGTTTCAATGGCTATGATTACATCTCATCTTGTTCTTATCAATCACAAGGGTGAATTTAGTACAAATTTGGAACATTTGATTGGTATGAGTTTTTATGCAAAACTACAAATTCGTCCACCATTAAAACCAAAACTTCTATTTGTTCTCCGAGATCAAGCCGATTGTCAGGCAACAAATATATTTTATAATCAATTAGCTAAATTAAAAGAAAATCTTTATAAAGATACAAAATTTTTGAAAGCTACTATTGACGAAGAATTGGAAATAGAAGAAAATAATGTTGTCTTATTGCCAAATGCATTTTCATCTGATATGGATCCTGTTCTTAATATGAAATTTAGTTGGCGAAATCAAACGTTTCCAACTGAAATTATTGGTTTGCGTGACGTCATTTTTAGAGGTCTTCATGAAACTAGTAAGAAAACAGAACCAGCTTACAGTGATATGGCGCAACTTTATAGCAAAATTTACAGCAATTGGAATTCAATTGATAAATTAGGCCCACGTTTACTAGCATGTAAAACATTATCTGAATTATCAATTCAAAATGAATTACGAGATATTGCCCATGAGATTGTACAAGGAAAAAATGATGCTTTGTTAAGAGAAGGACAACAACAAATTAATATCGTTCTAACAGAGATAACAGCAGGAAAACAAGTTGTATCGAACGAAAATCTTTCACGTATTAGTGAAGGCTTTCAAGTAACATTAAATGGAATATATCAACGATTCTTCAATGATGCTATACATGAATTTAAACAAAAAAGTGAAAGAAGTTGTTATTTACCAGAAGCAAAAGAAAAAGCAATCAAACTCATGGGACCTCCAATAAAAAGCACAAAATATATGGTAAGAGCAGACTTTGATGACAGACTACATTCGGTAGTACAAAATATTCGTTTTCAAGATACACATAGAAAATTAATGCATGATGCACAGTGTAATTTCGAAGAGAATAAACATATGGGAATAGAAGAGATGCAACGACGTGTTGAGCAAGACTATGAAACTGCAGTTGCACATTGTAAAAATAGTTTAGAGTCATTACGCAAGTCACCTGAAGATATTACACAAAATGTACTGAGAATTTACAGAAATTTACTTGATAGAAAAGCAGCAAATGCAACAAAAGGCAGCATTTACAATCGTGTGGAACCACTACAATATGAGAAATACTTAAATGAATGTACAAAACTTGGTCCTATTTGGAATCAAATGAAAAATGCTCCAGCTCGTCCATATTCTGGTACACAAATTCGTGTCTCATCGAGGCGAAACAGTATCACAACATTGTCAAAAAAAATGATATCAGATGAAGTATTGGATATAATAAAGAAAAAATGTAGATGGTTTACAAATATGAGATCTGACTCAAAAGTTAAAAATATCCTTGGAATGATATGTCAAGATGTATTACCAGAATTAAATAAACAAATATTGAAATTAGTACATGATAATAAATATTCTGATCCACAAACATTAATAGCTGTTTTAGCTAATACAGAAAATATGATAAATAAGGAACCGATTATGAACTATGATAAATATTTAGATATTCTAGCTATTGCAAATGATTTTGCAGTTATATCATTAAGAATTGTAATTGATGAAGCTATACGTATTGAAAACGAAAATTATAGAACTGAATTAGATAAAGCGTTAACAGAAGCACGTAAAGCTAAAGATGATGTTGCCAAACAATTTGCTGCTATGGAAGATTCATTTGAACAAGGAAAATTATTAGCAACTAATGTTGGTGAACAAATTTTTAAAGAACTTGATCATATACTGTTAGACAAAGTATTAAGTGATATTAAACAAGATATTGTTAAAAGTCATTTTATTAATCATGATGTAATACAGAAACAAGCCTATGAACAAAGTTTTAAACAAGCTAATGGTGAAAATATTTTAAAATATGTGCTCGATATTAATCGTTATTTCTTAGAATTGAGTTTGAAAGAAATTAAAACAACACTCAATGCCGTTACACATTCTCATACACTCGATCTTGAAGAACTTATTATTCAAGTACTTAATGCAGCAAATAATATTGTAAAATCAAGTCAATGTAAAGATGTACAATTTGTGAATAATGATATTACAAAAGGTATTGCAAATATTCCGCAGTTAGTAGCTGTTCAACAGGAAAATCGTTTTCAACTAACAGATGTCGTACCGTTACCTATTTCTGAATCTACTCTATTTAAATCTGGTTTTAGAAAAATACTGGATAATATAAGTAGAGTCAAATAACAAGCTGAAATTATCACAACAGGATTGAAGGCTAAAGCATTTGCTGGTTGTAAACCGCATTTAACTGGACGTTTAGGTTGCCAATCTCGATGTCCTGGATGTGGTGCTAAGTGTAGCAAACAGATGCCACATGAAAGAGAATGGGTAGAACAAATGCCAGATGCATGCAACTGTCCTGCTGAAAGCGGCTGTAATTGCCCCAAACCACCGCCGATCCAAGTAGAAGCTCATGCCAGCACACATCATATTGCTCGTATGTTCTTTGGAATGAGATTTCATCTAACAAATACTCCCGTAACAAGATTGTGTTATCATAAATGGAAAACAGCCAGTATGCACATCGGCGACGATATATGTATAAATCCAATTCAACGTTATTACAATCAAAAGCATCCAGCATGGTATAATGATCTAAACAGTCATGCATCACTTGACAAAACTGACTGTGACGATCTGGCCCCACCTGAACAACGACGAGCATGGATGGTAGTTAGACATGTTCTTATTAATCACTATAGCGAAATTGGTATGGTAGATACAATATATGACAAATATTCTTATCCACTGGATGTACCAGCATTACCAGCTGACTTTGAACCTAGATGGAAAGATGATGGTATCGATTGAATTGCGAAGCATATGGCTTATAAAAAAAAATTTTAAAACCTTTGAAAGTAACCCATATATGATACAACAACTGTTATAGACAAACATTTCGAGAAGAAACTGACATCCCTTACGATTACTAATTACATAAGTAATAAATTTCTTCACTATTATTTATGCTAAAATTTACTCATTGTTGTGAGTTTTTACTTTTTTAATATATAACTTTTCTTGCCAAAAATGTAAATACCAGCTATACCCTCTGTGCTTACACCTTGAAAAAGGAGAAACGCCAGTTTATTTATTTTGAGAGTATATTATTTCTCCATTACTAGAATCATAGAGTAGTCATCGTCACTTTTTTCCAGAACCACTAAGGTATGCGTCAAGCAAATTTTATCTTTTCTTTGGTTTATACCATTACTAATACAAAATATATAAGTGCAATGATTGATAGTAGTAGTAAGTGTAATGATACTAAAAAATTATTTTCATATATGACGTCCCTGTTATTGCGCCATATTGTTTATACACTTTAAGGGGCTATGTTGACCTAAGTAACGGTTGTTTCAGTGTGTATAAAAATTATTTTTTTCTTCACCCCCTCAACCTCACCCCTTACCCTCACCCTGACCTCCGATCATCCTGAAATACATCAAGAAAGGATAATCGGCCACGCTGAGTCGAGCATTGATGTTTGTTTTTAGTTTCAAAGTAATATGAGGCCAGAAAATCAAAATTTCCGGAATTTCAGCATTGTGTCGTCAGCCATACATATACCACTGTCAAGATTGAGGTGAACAAAATAAGTCATTGCATTTTAGATAATCGATTTCGAATTTCAAGAATCTTGGAATTATTTATAGAAAACCGATCGATTTTCTAGAATATTAGAAAATCAAAATCGAATTTCCAGTATTTGTAAAATCGACTCCGAATTTTCATATTTTTCGAAAGTCTATGACGATTTTCTGAATAAAATGAAAAGTCAATTTATAGAAAATCATGAATTTCTAAAAAGTTAGAAAATCTACGAGCATTTTATCAATATCAGAAAAGCTCCACGATTTTCCAGATCGATTTTCTATAAACTAGAAATGAATTCCCAATTACACTGTAGCATAATGAGCCGGATACGAATTGTTTTGAATCAACTTAGCTGTTTCAGTTTTGTGTTCTATAAATATTAAAAGAGCATGTATCTTTATTTTGACCTGTATGATGTTTTCAGAAATATATTCCTGAAAAATCAGTCTTTAAAATTTCTAGTAGCCAGTTAGATGGATAATTGACGGAAGTAGTATATGGCCAAAATGAAAATTTTTATTTGTACCTAAAGTTTCGAGATTCAAATAATTTTGTAGGGACATTAGCGAACTCGTGAAATCTACCACATTTGGGTAATGAGTGTTTCTAATAGGTTTTAAAGAAAAACGTCTTTTGTCAATTCTGAGTAGCCAGTTAGATGGAACATTGACAGAAGTAGTATGTAATCTAGAGAAAAGGTGCCATGTGCATAAGTTTTTGAGATCAAGTTCATTGTTTAGGAACATACAAGTGTTGTGTATCTATGAAGAGTTTTCGGTTGTATTTACACAAAATACTTTGCTAACTGTAAAACGGGTGTATCGACTGGAGCTCATACCTCGAACGTATCAAAAGAGCCAAAACGAGTTCATCTCTAATGCATTATGCGGTGAAAGTGACCCCGATAAGGCCGATCACCCGTGCATGTTCTTGAAGAATGCCGAGGATCTCGAAAACTTTGGGGAAATGTCTTGGCTGTCCTTCTGGCGACATATGGTTGTCTTCTCCTACCGAGCTAACTAGCCAATAAAAATTACAAAAGATATTTCTTTCCAGAAAAGTGGTATACTTCCCATGGATTCACCCATCATGATTGTAAATAGAAAAATGGCGGCTAACAATAGTAAATTCACGAAAGGATTTGAATTTGAATTCCCCATTCTTGATGATCTTTGGTCAAGTTTTATGAAAAATGGTGATCAGATTCGGATTTCGACCTTCAATTACCTTTCGGTAAAGTTTTATTGAAAACGGTGGTCAGATTGAGATAAGGAAGTATACCGCTAGCTACGATAGTCTCTGCACATGCCTACGAATGGAAAGTGCGCAAAAATGTTCCTGGCGGAATTGCGTGAATTTTCTGCGTACTAGTAATATTCTCGTTTAGCATTATCACTACTATAACGGTAACGCACCATCTCTAGTTCGAAGATATCAGGGGTACAAATAAAAACAGTTACCAGTTATTGGGTAAAGTAACGGTAACTTTCCTGCCCTAGTGACTTAACTCCCATACTCCCGACGTACTTCGAACGTACTCCTGTTCTCCGTCGTACTGCCGTACTCCGATCGTACTCCCGCTGTACTCTGGACTCGATATGGAGTGTCGTTTCCCCATTGAGAATTACACAGAACAACAATGGTAATCTACCACTGAAACATGGCTACAGTCATTTCTCACACGACAGAAATCGACATTATCAGTTTTATATGATCAAATTCTAACACGTACAGCTGAATACGGGCCTAAATATTTAACAGATAATCCATGGCTTTCGTTGGTCATACAATTTCGATTTGAATTCGACGATCAAAAATCAGAAAGGATTTGGAGTTGCTTTTACAAATAGCAATTTCAGATACACATTTTCTCCTTGATGGACCAATTTTTCGCCAAACGAATGGGGTAGCCATGGGCTCCCCTCTGGCACCCATTCTTGCGAATATATTCATGTGTCCTTTTAAGGAGTCTTTATACTCTGAACTTCAGGATGCAGGAGTAAAATATTATTTAAGATACGGCGATGATACTTTTCTATTACTACTATCCGTTTCAAAATAAAAGAGACTCCACTGTAACTCGAATAACGTTTGATAGGAAGAAGATAGAAACCTGCGATTTTCGCTGTTCAATAGCCAAGACTTGAGTAGACCTTTTCACAAGCGGAAGCAACTTTTGAAAAAATTTCAGAGATCGGGTTTTCAGAGGCTCTTTGGGAAACCAGCTCCGTTCTCAGAAAACTAACATACAATGTTAGTAATTTTTTTGCATGCGTAGATAGTTCGGACGTTACT